CTTTGGTAGGCCATATATAAATGGTGCTCGGCCATTGTTGCAAGATAGTGTTCGTTTCAAATTATCTGTTATGAATTTATTTTTATGCCATAAATGTATTAGTTTTGTTTGTATATTGGTGGTAAGATCCTTTTTTTCCGGTTTATATGTTTTCATATCATTTATTAAGCCTGGCATTTTAGTTTTGTATTCACTTTTTAACATAATTACAGTTTTGTTACATTTATCTGCTGTTAGTATGCAAATGTTTGTGTGTTCATACACGACATGCCATACATAACTTGTACATAACTTCCTGATGCAAATCGTGTTCCAGGCAAGGCAGGCGGGCCACATGGGTGGGAGCATCGGGCGACCAAACCTTCCTCAAACTGGACGAAAGCCTCATCAACTCAGTCAGCCTCAGTAAATCAATAGTAACAGCAAACAAGCATTGCATAGTTTTGTTCCCCAACTACGAAATGCCTGCGAGGAATTTCAAAAGCCTGGTGATCAACAAAAAGGACGGCAATTGCCACTCGTTTAAGGGCGATTATCAGGAGGATTTCACCACGAAGATGCTGTGCATGGACCCGATCTACAACATCCTCTGGTCCTACGACGCTTCCAAGCACGAGGTGTGCTGTTACAACATCATCGCCCCCTACTTGCAAAGTTCCCTGCTGGTTTCCCACTTGAACAAACTGTCCGGGGGCAAGGGCCATTTGGATGTTAAAGTGCTGCTCGATCAGCACTGGCAGGAGAAAGAGGCCGATCTGAATAACATCCTGAAGCCGGAGTTGGCTTTGCCTGTTACTGCTAACTGCCAAGTCACCAGGTAAACTCTAGCCTGGACTGTTGGGCCAAATCAATATCCAAAACTTTGGGAAACAGATTCCAAGCCGCTCTGAACCTCCTCTGCTGCCTGGACACCTTAACTATTGCCCACAATCTCCAAATATGCCCAGTCAAAGAAGAGGTTGATGAGCGCCAAGTGGTCACTGGCAAGCAATACTCCAAAGAGGACTTTCAGGC